TTGTACTAGCCAGGGCAGGCCTTGGCTTTGTCACCCTCAGCAAGAGCAGCTGTCCACAGTCTGAATTACAAACTCTGCCAATCATGTCATGGTCTGCCAGCCAACCCCTACTAATACAATATTCTCTTCAAACTGCTGGGACTTCCGATCCAAACATCCTGCCATCTTTCACTTTCCATCTCCCCTCATTTTCTCATTTCCTTCATCATCCAGCTTCGACTTCGTGATTCTATGGTGTCACATTTGTGTGTGCTCTCAACTCATTGCCCCCTCTCATTCATTCATATTTGCATGACAGAACTGCAGTTCTGGTCAAAATCCAACTCTCTACCTACTTCAAACTTCTGCTTGAGCACTTGACCTTAGATGGAGGAAGAACACTCGGTAGTACCTAATGGATCACTCTTCAGTTCAAGCCTACACGACTGCCCCCAAATCCTGCTAGATTTCCCTAATTCCTTCACTCCCCAATCTGATCTCCTGGATGACTATTTTATATCATCTCCTCTCACCCTCAATCTCTACCACTTCCTTCTCGGTTCACTGTCAGACGAGAAAATAGTAACAATTCGAGGGGAATGTCATCAGATCTCCCTGCCACCAACTTCCTAACCCACCTGCCACTGTGCCCATAAACTCTCTTTCCTGTCACCAAGGGTGACTACCTATGCTCTGACGGGCAATTCCGGCTAGTGTTCTCGATTTCATCCTTTTGTACTTACCCAAGAAGACCTCTCCCATAATTTGTCCAATTTCTCTCCCAAGTTGCTGATCTTTCTCTCGCTCTCCTGGACCATCCTTCACAATATGGTATAATCCTTCATAAATATGGTATAATATTCCTGTTTTTTGAAAACCCTCTCTGACAACACATTCAGCAAATGCTTCTGTGTATTAGAGTGACATCATCTAATTTATGATTTTAAAAGAATAGATTTCTTTCTGGAGAATAGATTATAGGGGAGCAAATGAAAGTAAGGAGACTAAAATGCTATTTCAGGGGCGCCTGGGTGGCTCAGTTGGTTGAGCGTCCGACTTCGGCTCAGGTCATGATCTCGTGGTCCGTGGGTTCGAGCCCCGCGTCGGGCTCTGTGCTGACAGCTCAGAGCCTGGAGCCTGTTTCAGATTCTGTGTCTCCCTCTTTCTCTGACCCTCCCCTGTTCATACTCTCTCTCTCTCTCTGTCTCAAAAATAAATAAGATGTTAAAAAAAATTTTTTTTTAAATAAAATGCTATTTCAGAAAAATAGTTTCTGTGGTAGCAAACTAGATAATATTGGCCCATCTTAAGTTGGGCCCTTTGGAGGCTGGAAGACTGCTACAGAATAGGACAAACTAAAGAGGCCTAACAGGCAAATGCAACTTGTAAACTTTGATTGGCTGTTTAATCAGGAAAAAATATAACTGTAAAGAGTGGTATATAGTTCAACGTATGGAAATGAGTTAAAGTGATACACCATATTAACGAAATGAAGGATAAAAGTCGCATGGTCATCTCAGTAGATGCAGAGAGAGCATTTGACAAAATTCAACACACGTTCGTGATTAAAACTCTCAACAAACTAGGTACAGAAGGAATTTCTCTTAATATAATAAAGGCCATATACAACAAGCCCATAGCTGACATCATACTCAATGGTGAAAAACTGAGAACATTGCCTTTAAGATCAGGAACAAGGCAAGGATGTTCACCATTGCCACTTACATTCAACATAGTACTGGAAGTCCTAGCCACAGCAGCTAGGCACCAGAAAGAAATAAAAAGCAGCCAAACTGGAAAGAAAGAAATAAAATAATACGTTTGCAAATGACATGATCTTACATATAGAAAACACTAAAGATTCCAACAAGCAAAAACAAAAACCCTGTTAGAACTAAGAAACAAAACTACGGCAATTAAAACAAGAGAGTACTGGCATAAAGACAGACATATAGACCAACAGAGCAGAATCGTGAGCCCGGAAATTAATCTTCAACAAGGCTGCCAAGAGCACACAATGGTGTTGGGAAAATTGGCTATCCACATACAAAGGAATGAAATCAGACCCTTACCTTACACCACACACACAAAATCAACTTAAAATGGATTAAAGACTTAAACATTAAAAAAAAAAAAAAAGACTTAAACATAAAACCGAAAATCTAAAACCCCTAAAAGATAACATAGGGGAAAAGCCTCTCTTATTTATTTATTTATTTATTTATTTATTTGGGGGGGGGAGAGAGAGAGGGAGAGGGAAAGAGAGAGAGAGAGAGGATGAGCAGGGGAGGAGCAGAGAGAAAGAGAGAGAGAATCCCAAGCAAGGTCCATGCTGTCAGCTCAGAGCCCCCATGTGGAGCTTGAACTCACAAACCTTGAGATCATGACCTGAGCCAAAATCAAGAGTCAGATGCTTAACCAATTGAGTCATCCAGGCACCCCAGGAAAAAGCCTCTTGACAATGGTCTTGGCAGTGATCACTTGGATATGACACCAAAGGCACAGAAAATAAAAACAAAAATAGACAAGTGGGACTTCATCAAGTTAATAACCTTCCTCACAGCAAAGAAACCAATTAACAGAATGGAAAGACAACCTACAGAATGGGAAGAAGATTTGTAAACCATATTCCCCATAAGGGGTTAATATCCAAAATATATGAGACTTCTACAATTAAAACAAAACAAAGCAAATAATCCTATTTAAAAATGGGCAATGTATTTGAATGTCTCTAAAAAAGACATACAAATGGCCAACCGATACATAAAAAAGTGAGGTGCTCAACATCACTAATCCTCAGGGAAATGCAAATCAAGAACACAATGAGATATCGCCTCATACCTGATAGGATGAATATTATCAAAACAATAAAAGTAACAGGTTTGATGAGGATGTGAAGAAACTATAACCCTTGTACACTGTCGGTGGGAAAATAAAATGGGGCACCTGCTATGGAAAGTGGTATGCAGGGTCCTCAAAAAATGAAAAGTAGCAATCCCACTCCTGGATATTTATCCAAAAGAATTGAAATCAGGATCTTGACAGATGAATACCTAAAATGTTCTATACACATACAACAGAATATTCAGTGTTAAAAAGAGAAAGAAAAGAAAAGAGAAGACAAGACAAGACAAGAAAATCCTGCCACATGTGACAACATGGATGAACCTGGAGAGGACATTATGGTAGGTGAAATAAGCCAGTCACCAAAAAATCATATGATTCTTCTTCAAAATAGTTAAACTCAAAAAAGCAAAGAGTGGAACGGTGGTTGTCAGAGACTGGGGACAGGAGAAAATGGGGAGTTGTTCAATATATATAAACTTTCAGTTCAGCAAGATGAATAAATTCTGACAGTCTGCTGTTCAACACAGTGCCTACAGTTAAAATACGAACGGTGCACATAAAAAAATGTTAAAAGGGTAGATCTTACATCAAGTATTCTTACCAAAAACAAACAAATGAAAGGGTGTGAGGAAACTCAATGAAAGTGATGTGCATGTTTATCTTGATTGCAGTGATGGCTTCATAAGCATATTGCATACATCCACACTCGTCAAATTACCTTCATTAAATATATGTAGAATTTGTGTGTGTGCGTGTCTGTGTGTGTGTGTGTGTATACATATATATATATATGCTTTTAAGTTAAAAAAAAAAAAAAAGGAAGAATGGTGTGTCATTAAATTTTGTTTAACAACTAGCCAGGGGTAGGGAAGATCTCAGACTTCTAGTAATTGCCAATTTCCATGGTATAAATATTCCCACTCCGACCAATGTCAGGCTACTGTGATATCACTGGACTTGAAGTTGGAAGAGATGCACACATTGTCACTGTACAAGCCAGCCTCAGCATGCCATTGGATAAGAACGTTTTGGAGACAACGGGAGAAATTTGAAAGTAGACTGGATGTGTTGGATAATATCACTGAATTTATATTGATTTTCTTAGATGTGGTAATGGTAATGTGATTGTGTGGGCAAATGCCCATATTCTTGTGAGATATATGCTAAAATATCCTGATGGCATCCTGATGTTTAAAGACTACACTCGTGTGTGTGTGTGCGTGGGTGTGCGCACGCGCACGCACGTGCACGCATGGACACGTTTGGGAAGGGGGAAAGGATATATTGGTCTTCATTAACAAAATTGTTCTTTCAACTTTTCTATGAGCTTAATATTTTTAAAAAGGAAAAAATTAACTTGTGGCCAACAGAAGATACCATGTAAAAATCTGGATTTTCGTTTTCTATTGAAAAAAGCCTAAAAATGCAATTTCGGACTCATTCTTTCAAAAAGCACCATTTACCTGAACCTAACAGACAGGAGATGTGCTTGCCGATCAGTCTTACCTGGCCCTCTTTCCTCCTCTGAGTTACCTTCTTGACCCCTGTGGGCATTTGCATTTGAGCTCTGGGTCCAGAAACGGGTTCAGCGAACTCAAGATGGCCTTTTATGCTAGCTAGCTTCCAAGCACTCAATGGAGAAGGATAAAAAAAGAAAAACAAAAAGATGGTGCCTATTTAGTATTCTGTTCCTGCTTCTGGAATTATTGTTTTCATTGTGCCCTATGCTAAGATCTAAAACTAATTTTGTGCTTTCTCAAACTCATTTTACCAGCTCTCTCGGCTGACCCTTTCTGAAAGGATGACAGTATTTAAATTGCTTACAAGTTCTGGATTTTAAAACCATATTTCTCGGGTTAGAGACCTATAGACATGAAAGAACTTGGCGAGATGATAGTCACCGAAATGACTTTGTCGTTTGGACGGCTCCTAGGATGGCTCCGGGGACTAAATGACACAGAAGAATCTAGCAAGCAGAATGCCTGTTTCACGCAGGGCTGTGATGTTGGCGGTGACTCTGGCGCCCTCTAAAGGCTACTGTGAGAAAAGCAGCTGCTTACCACGTGCTTTAAGTTTCGGGCTTTGCCGGAAGTGTGACGTTTGGGAGGGAGGGGGGCAGAGGTCGTGTATGTTCTTCGAATCCAGAGCCAGTAATCTAACTCGTCATTTAGCCCTCCCCTCATATCACGGAAGTAGCAAGCCCTTGTCCCACACAACTTTTCATCCTCAGTGAGGACGATACTCTCTGCTGTCACCAGCAAGACTGGAAACAGAGAACTTGATCAAAGTCTGCATTCCTGTGTTGTTGTTTTTCTTTTAGAACAAAGAGTTTGAGATGCGAATTTTTTTTAAGGCAAGCACTATCTTGTCTATTTGCTTTGAGAAATAAGTTGTCAGAGTATCTGCTCTGTGCCAATAAGGTAAGTGTGCTGGGCTATTCTTCATTGTCATTGTCTTTTTTTCTTTTCTTTTCTTTTTTTTAAATGGGGAAATGTTTCCAGAAACCTCTTTTGCAGAGGATGAATATTCCCCTTGCTGAGCGCCTTCCTTAAGGATGAATGTCTTCTTCAGGAGCCTCTTGATCAGGGTGAAAGCAACAGAATTAAGGAGAAAGTCAGCAAAGGAGCTGTTGTAAGGAAACAAAGTTACGTGGCCGGGAGCAACCATCTGAAAGAAAGCTGTCAGTGAGAATAACAGCATCCCAGGACTTTCTGTAATTCTCTTCTCCCCTCTGATGTCATCTTACGGATGACATAGGAGTGCCAAGCGTTGGGAAACATAAAATACTCCACAGGTGTTAGGAAATACTATAGCATTGGCAAGTGAGAATAAGAAATATAAACAGATCAAATTCCAAACCCAAATGAACCATGATCGATCGCATGATTTGCAGATCACCCAAGTCTCTCCATATTTCAGAAATGATTCCTACATGTTCTGGTCTGGCAGGTCTGGGATGGGGTTTTCGTGTCGTTCAAAAGTCCAGTTCAATAGATTAGGGCTCATTTACCAAAGAACTCCGATTAGAAGCAACCTTTGAGCTACAGAGGACCTTACAGTCATAACACACGTTATAGTTTAGAGAGAGCATACACACACCTTATGTCCCACCACTCCCCCTGCCCTTCATGCCTGCGGAATCTCTCCTCCCTTTCAAATCACACCTAGTTTGGTACCAATTACTTGGCATTCAGACATAAAAACAATTCTCTTGGGCTGGAAGAGGACACAGGGAAAACCACTGGAACCCTCTGTTTTACAAATGTAGGAACAATCTCACGGGGAAATAAAGAATTTTAAGTTCCTGCGGCCGGTCAGAGCCAGAGGCAGAACCAGAACCCAGATCTTCCTATTTCTAGTTCACTCACCAACTCCCCTCATTGACTCGAAGCATACTTTTTACATTTACGTATTTATTTTGAGAGCGATAAAACGAGACAGAGTATGTGGGTGTGCATGCGGGAGGAGAGGGGGCAGAGGGAGAGAGAGAGGATCTTAACCAGGCTCCTTGCCCAGCAAAGAGCCCCTTGCGAGGCTGGATCCCACGACCCTGAGGTCATGACCTGAGCCAAAATCAAGAGCCAGACGCTAACCAACTGGGCCACCCAGGCGCCCCCCCCCCCTTTTTTTTATTTAAACTTTTTTATTTGAAGCATATTTTTTAAATGGCTGCCCCCACTCAGAAATTCATAATCTGCAAGTGTTGTGTAATTCCAAGAGGTGTAAATTCCTAATTTGTTTTTGCTGCCTGTACAGTTTCTTAAGTGGCTCTATAAAGGACAAGGTGTTTTGCCCTGGAAAAACACAGCCCACTCTGTGTCTCTAACCAACAGAGACATTGTTGCTCTGTGTTGCTCTGTGTTGCTGTGTCCTGTAGCCAAACAACCCAACAGGGCCTGCAAACGTTGGTACCTGGAGCACACAACCGTTACAGGAACGCACCACATGATGTCATGTGTGTCCACATCTCTCCATATGGCAGCGTCTCCTGTTATGGGGTCTTTTCTTATTACTATTATTTAGTTACTGGGCCTTCATCATCTTTGGGTCCCCACCCTTGGCTCTCTAACTGCACTTCGAGGTACCCGGGTGCATCCATCCATTCAACAGAATGGATTCATTTGCTGCTCGCCTGTTCACTGGAGCATGTTTTGCACTTTGCCAGTTCAATCAGCAACCATTTCTTTTGTGTTTTGATTTCAAAGACAGAACACAGTTGAGATCTACCGACTTCAGCCTTCTACCTAGTGGCCTAGAAATTCCAGTGTCCTCATTGGCAGAGGCCATTTACTTCTGTTTGAAAGCTGTCTAAAAATCCTACTCCTCACCCCAAAGGAAGCTACAGGTATGTATGCCTCCTTATTTCCAAACTCGCTGATTGCTTCTGTCTGTGTGAGCTGTCTTTTCTAGGGAAAAGAGAGGAAGTGAGGGAGATAATTAGGAAAGTAGGGAATGAACACTGATAAATATTTGGTGCTGGGCACTTTTGTGTGAGTAATGTCGCTTTGTTTACAACTCAAACAATTCTACATAGCTCTTTTTCTTATTTTATAAGCAATAAATCTTAAGGTGTTCAAGTAGGTTGTTTGGAGTCACACGGCCAATCAGTTGCAGACACAGGGTTCAAACCAGTTCTGCTGCCTCTAAGTCCATTCTGATTGCAGCCTACCTAGCTCTTTCAATTCAATAGAGACTCCCAAGTCAACCAAGAGTCTCAGGGGAAGAAGTGCCAGTTTTGTCGTAAATAATGGAAGCCAGACCTGGAGGTCTCAACCCTACAAAGAGCAGGTTGGCAAGTAAGATTTGGCAACAGCCCTAAGAAATCCCTCTGTATCTCCTTGCAAGTCCCTGGATCTGCTCCAGGACCAGGTGAGTTCGAGGGTCTGAAGGGGTCAGAAGTCTTCCTCTGCCCCCTGTAAAGTTGATAAATACACTTTGACTCTGTGCCTGGGGACTCTGATTTGATCTAGAAGGCAAGCTGCAAAGGCATACGACACATTCCCCCAAGTCCATCACAAAAATGTGACAGCAAACCTGAGCACAGGTGAGGGAAGAGGCTTTCTAATGGGAACCACAGGACACCTTAGCCTCTCAGACCAACGAGGTGCGCACATCCAACCTCAGAGTCAGAGATCTCGAGACGCTGCAGACTCAGCCCCTTACTAGCAGTGTGGCCGCAAATCATGCCACACGATGACGCTCTGTTTTCTCATTTACTGGCGCTCAGGTCTCAATAAATATTTTTTCTCTTGGTTCCCCAAGGCAAATAGCACTAGAATAAGCGGCATCATGCTACAAAAATCACATAAGGGTTACACAGCAAGATCTCCCCTCAAAAAAATACCATGTCTTCAAAGGCAAAGCCAAATCAATTATACATATATATTTTTTAGAAAACAAATACTTTGACGTCTCGACTACTCTGTGTGTGTTTGGGACTGGCCAGGGGGCATTGAGGGAAAGACAGCACTGGCTACTGAATCCACCTGACGTGTCGAGGGCCTCAGCGTGACATATGTCTGATTTGCTGGAATCAACTGAGTGGTTCGCCCATCTGTCAAAGCAAAAGCTACGTTGGTGTTGACAGAAGCCCAAATTGTAGTACCAAGAAAAACTGGTTCTCAATCCCTATGACACTTACCTCCTCCAGTCTCTACTGACTGCCACAGACATCCCCATGTCCAGAAGACCTCATCCAGAATGCCCCATGTAGCTTTCCTTGGGGACTTTGTTCTGCGTTATGGTCACCCAGTCTTGCCTCTGTGTGAGGTTAAGAACCCCCCACTCAATTCATACAATATCACCATTGCATGGTAGGGGATGACCCATGACCAGCCGTCCTTCAGGACTCTAGAGGCTATGAATAAAAACTAATCTTTTTTGCTAGCCGCAATTCCTCGGGTCCAGAGAGACAAAGTGGAAGCAGAGGGTCCTTTTCATACTGAGGGGATCTAAAGTCCCAAGGGCATCAAGGTCCTGACTATACTAGTTAATAATAAGAACTAAATTTAAGTGAGCACTTACTATGTAGGAAACAGACTTCTACAATCCTTCCAACATATCAATCATTTAATTCCATAACAAATATTTAAGAGCTATTATTATTATTTCCGTCCCCACTGTACTAAAGAGAAAACCGAGGGCTGGAGACAAAAAAAAAAAAAAAAAAAAAAAAAACAGGTAGCCCAAGGTCACGCTGCTAGTAAGTGACACAAAGAGTTAAACCAGAACAGTCCCATTTCAAAGCCCTCATGTTTAACCACAATGTGAGTCTGCCCCAGCTCAAAGATGACAAGAGGGTGTTTATGCCACCATGAAAGTTGAATGCTACGACAGGAGGCTCCTTCCAGTTTTGTCACAGGAGGACGCTCAGGCCACCCTTCTTCCAACAGGGTACCATGGCCAGGCGAGTCGCAGTGATTGGGGCGGGTGTGAGCGGCCTGTCCTCCATCAAGTGCTGCTTGGATGAGGATCTGGAGCCCACCTGCTTTGAGAGAAGTAATGACATCGGGGGACTATGGAAGTTTACTGTGCGTAGCTCGTACCCTCCCACCTCTATCAATCATAATCCGGCTGTCGGCTTTGTCCCTGCTCAGGCATGGTGACTTCAGCCTATCTTGGGGACCACATAAGAAAGCAGCTCACTGGGTGGAGGTGGGCAGCCTGGGTGGCTCGGTCAGTTAAGCTGGCTGACTCTTGATTTTGGCTCAGGTCATGATCTCACAGTTTGTGAGATCAAGCCCCGTGTCAGGCTCTTGTTCACATTTAGCACAGAGCCTGCTTGGGATTCTCTCTCTCTCTCTCTCTCTCTTTCTCTTTCAAAATAAATAAATAAACGTTAAAACAAAAAAAGAAAGCAGCTCACTACAACAACACGGGATTGTGCACGTAAGGTGCCAGTACTGTGCAGGATGCAGTCTGACAGGTGATGAACCCGGAGACTTAGCAGGGCAGAGCAGAGACAGTTGGAGGAGGGAAGAAGGAAGAGTTAAGTCCGCTACACATAGTATTGGAAGTTACAGTGGTTTCCGGACCACATTCTGAGGCAAAGGAACAGAGTGTCACATAGGTTAAACTGAATGGCATTGGTGAATATGGAGCAATGACACTTTTAGAAGGACGGAGGTTGGCCTCAGGGAGTGAAGCCCCAGCCCCCAGGCATTGTTCGGGTCTTTGGGAAGGGAACTGGCAAGAGTGAGGCAAGAATCCAGACCTTGTAGAGTTGGGGGTGGGTAGCTTTCACAGAGTATCAGAATAAAAAAGGTTGAGATGCTGATCAATCCTTCTAAGGAGAAGGGTAGTGCATCCTGGGGGGTTATGTTAGGCCAGCTATTAGGTAACTTGAGCAACAGAAGTAGGGGCTGGAAGTGGCTCAATACCACCTGCCTCTGGCTGGTCCTGGGCATCACAGGGCCTTCGGCAGGGACCTAGGGATCTGTCCCAGCAGTGAGGTATAAAATGTCAGAAGATAGGAGGCCTTGGGGGGAAGAGAAAAGCAACATTCAGTGGGAGCTCCGCATGGAGGAGAGTACTTCAAACTGGTATGAATGAGGGAGGCCTTCATGGAGGAGGTGGCATTTGCCATTCATCGACAGATGGTGAAGAAAACAGAATAAGCAAATGTATGTGAGCGGAAATGGTCACAGCCCTGTGATTATAGTGTACTAGGGGAGAAAAGTTTCTCTTGTTGTACCGTGAGCCTGATGGAACCAAATGGAGCCAAATGTCAATGTGGACAGAAAACACTGGGTCTGGTTTGTGTCCCTTCTGCTATTTGACCCCACAGTTTGTTTGGTTTTCTTCCCCTAAAGTAAGATAGATAGGGGAGCCCGGGTGGCTCAGTCAGTTAAGCGTCTGACTCTTGATTTCCGCTCAGGTCGTGATCTCACTCGTGAGATCGAGCCCCGCGTTGGGCTCCGTGCTGAGTGTGGAGCCTGCTTGAGATTCTTTCTCCCTCTGGCCCACCCCATTTGTGTGTGCATGCGTGCACACACACGCTCTCCCTTTCTCTCTCTCTCTCTCAAAAAAAATAGAGTAATATAGATAAATTTTAGAAAATAATACTGAGTTAAACAAAAAGAAAAGTACAAATTAAATATAATATCAATACCCATGAGAATTATATACCTGCACTATTAAAATTTCTCTGTATGTTGTACATCTGAAACTAATGCAACACTGTGTGTCAACTATACTCAAATTAAAATAATAATAATAATAAATTTCAATGTAATTTCTTTCAGTCATATATATACTATTTCTTTTTCAAAAATGCAGTGATAGTATTGATGTTCACCCATTCACCAAGTACCTGAGTACCTGTGCTTATAATGTCCCTCTACCAGGATGGGGACAAAATAGACAAGGACCCTGCCCTCCTTACAGTCTGGTAGGGAACAAAAACAGTAAAACACATTGTTACAGTGCAGTGTGATCAGGGTGTGTTGAGAGTGCAGGGTGCTATGCGGCTGGAACAGCTACCTTAGAGACGGCATCTTATGGAAATTGACAGCTAAGAAAGATACTTAAAAGAGAAATAGAGATTAGCTTCAGCCATCAGAAGTTCATTGAGGCCTTATTTTTTAGAGAGAGAGAGAGAGATTGATAGAGCATGCAAGCTGGGGAGAGGGGCAGGGGAAGAGAGAGGGAGAGAGGGAGAGAGAGAGAATCCTAAGCAGGCTCCATGCCCGGCACGGAGGCCGACGTGAGGCTCCATCCCGTGACCCTGGCATTATGACCTGAGGTGAAACCAAGAGTCAGATGCTCAACCAACTATGCCACCCAGGTGCCCCCATCGGTGCTTTTAATATGCATGTTTTTGTTTTGTTGGTACGTTTTTTGAGTGTGTGAGGTTGCAACAAGACAACAGTGAGTTGAAGAGTCGATGAGAAAACAGAGGCTGCCAGTATGTGATGATTTTTTTCATGAAGATTGATATAGGACACAGAGAGACAAGGCTGGAAAGGGAATAGATATAGGTTGAAAGGGAGTATTGTTTTGTTTTTAAAAATTAGAGTCTTCAGTATTTTAAGTGCTGATGGGAAGGAGCCAATAAAGAGAGAGTGATTGAAAATATACATAGACGATAAATATAAAAATCAGTGAGGAGTTCTCTGAGTAAAGTGAAGAGAAAGAGGTCTAGGGCATGAGTTGAGGGAGTGAGGATGGCAAAGAAGGGGAAAAAAATAAGCAAGGGAGACCATAGGCCCCATGTTCATGGAATCGCTTAATGGCATTGTTAGTCTTGGAGAACCCTGTTAAATGTGTTAACTTCTTTGTAGTTTGATAAAGATACTATGTTTAATAAATCCAATCCCAACAACGATTTCTGATAACTATAGCATAGAGACCCAGTGCTGCATTTCCGTGGAATTCTTTGGAATGGTGAGTGGAACACTGACTGCTAACGATCTCTTTTCTCTTCCTCCTGACTCCCCCACCCCATCAAGCTAACTGTGCTCTCACCACAGGAAACTTCTAAAGATGGGATGACCAGGGTCTACAGGTCATTAGTGACAAACGTCTGCAAAGAGATGTCATGTTACAGCGACTTCCCCTTCCAAGAAGATTATCCAAATTACATGAACCAAGGAAAATTTTGGGACTATCTCCAAGAATTTGCTGAGCACTTTGACCTTCTGAAATACATTCGGTTTAGGGTAAGACACCTTGGGTCACGGAAGGTTAATGAATGGGGACTGCTCATTCGGCAATCTAATGCAAATGGGATATTTAAGTAAATTCATTCCTGATTTTATCTCTATATGAACAAGGCAGATAATAAAGACTCCTCACTTCTCCTGCTTCTCATGTTTTATTCAAATAAGGCATTAAAATACTGAATATCCTGGTTCCTCTTCTGAATCCAAATTCTTATTCAGGATGAAATTTAGAATGTTTTTCTTTTTGAGAGGAAAGGAAAAATAAATTTTGCCCATGAAACCCACTGGGAAGAAGTGACTAGGAATCTGGACCACAGAAATTATAATGAGCCAAAATTCATCTTCCTATGTTTTCCCAAGTCATTCAGTGTTGTAACTCACCTCCTTCTCACCGGGAGTAAAAACTGAATGTTTCTTCCTTCCAGTGAAGTCATTCAGATGTTTTGGGTCATGCTCTCTATGACTACTTTTGAGACTTTGTACAAGTTACTTAATTTCTTTTTTTTTTTTTTTAACATTTATTTATTTAGAGAGAGAACGTGTGAGAGCACAAATGAGGAAAGAACAGTCTCCACACTGTCAGCACAGAGCCCGAGACGGGGCTTGATCTCACAAACCATGAGATCATGACAGGAACCGAAACCAAGAGTAAGACACTCAATCGACTGACCACCCAGGTGCCCCAAGTTGCTTAATTTCTTTAGGGGGGAGATAAACCAATATTGACAGACCTCCTATCCTGAGACTCACTCAGCCCACTTGAAGTAACAAACATGGTTACCATACCAGTCATTACATGAAGTCCAAAGGTGATTGATAGCAAGTGAGTGTTTGGGGGTGCCTGGGTGACTCAGTCGGTTGTGCGTCTGACTTCGGCTCAGGTCACGATCTCGCGGTGTGTGAGTTCGAGCCCCGCGTCGGGCTCTGTGCTGACGGCTCGGAGCCTGGAGCCCGCTTCGGAGTCTGTGTCTCCCTCTCTCTCTGTCTCTCCCCCACTCGTGCTCTGTCTCTCTCTGTCTCTGTCTCTCTCTCAAAAATAAATAAACATTAAAAAAAAAACATTTTTTTTAAGTGAGTGCGTGTCTTTTACTTTCAGACCACAGTATGCAGTGTCACGAAGCGTCCAGACTTCTCTGAAACTGGTCAGTGGGATGTTGTCACAGAGACAGAGGGAAAGCGGGACCGAGGTGTCTTTGATGCTGTCATGGTTTGCACTGGACATTTCCTGAATCCTCACTTGCCTCTGGAGTCCTTTCCTGGTGAGTCACTTCTACCCGAGATCGTGCCTACTCTGCTGGGTTATTCTAGAAGAAAGTTGTTTATTTGCCATTGGAAATAATTCATGATGATTATAAGTGACTTGATGCTCAACCTCAGAAAAAGTGTGTACAAAATAACTTGGAAAGGTAGGAAGCTATGGAGGTGTCAGGCCTTATTACTTACTTATTAATATAAATGCTGTTGTTATTATTTAAGCTTTATCATGCCTGATCTGATTCAAGTTCAGTGATCACATAACCCTATCAGATGTGTCATTAAAAAAAAAAAAAAAAAAGCCAAGCTTTTGAATTCTGTCATTAAATTACAGGTCATTTGAGTCAGGAGTAAACCGCAAATCAATAACTTAATTAATAAACAAACAAACAAACAAAGTGAGAGCATAAAGAAACTTGACAGATTTGTTTTTAAGAAACATAGCAGTTGGGGCACCTGGGTGGCTCAGCTGATTAAGTGTCCAACTTCAGCTCAGGTCATGATCTCACGGTTTGTGAGGTCAACCCCCGCATCAGGCTCTGCACTGACAGTGTGAGGCCTGCTTGGGCTTCTCTCACCCCCCCTGCCCCTCCCATGCTCTCTTTTTAAAAATAAATAAATAAACTTTAAATATATATATTAAGAAAGAAAGAAAGAAAGAAAGAAAGAAAGAAAGAAAGAAAGAGAAAGAAAAAAGCAAGCAAGCTTTCAAGGAAGACTATGAAGAATAAAGCTTGCAAACCTGGGCCAATGAAGAAAATGAAATGTAAATCTTATAAACGTAATCTCATTATAATCAATTAACAAAATATCGTATTCAAAAAAGTGTCTTAGAGACCCAGTGGGAGACCTCAATGCATACTATTGCAAAGAAGCAGTATTGTAAATGATGGTCCAGCTTGCAGCTAGCCTGGGGGCTCAATCCACAATGGCACAGCAGTAAAGAAATATAGAACCGCCTGTTATACAATGTTTCTATGGGGAGATTTGTTACAAGATGTGATACTATGTTTTGGAATACAGTATCTTGTCAGGTTTGGGTTGGCTCGCCCTCAGTTGTACTTAGACTCTGACTAAAAGATGCTGTTGCAAAAGATCAACCAAGAGCTGAGAGGCGAGGATCCTTGTGGCAGTATAACGTACGTAATCTGGGAGAGCTGGTCCGAAGGAAAGAGACTGGGCAAACACAAAGGAGAATGACAAGGGAGTTTGGGATCAATACAAGAGCAAACATTTCTGCATACTTTAATGATCTCTGGGGCGGGGGGTGCGGCTGACTGCAGTAGAAATAGCCGTGTGCCCTTCTCTTTTGCCACAAAACCCAGATTATAGAGAAGGAAGAAATCCACACATACAGATGTCAGAGACTCCTCCTGAGGAGGTCTTAGTTTAAGACCAGACTTCAGAAGGATTTGTCACAGGAGGACACCAGGTCAAATATGCCAATGTCCTCTGTGTTCCTAGCATGGGGTATCTTGGTGAGTAGGCATGGTTTCAGGTTTCCAAAGAGTCCTGGTCTGCTACAGTTCCCCCAGGGACATTGGCCCTTGGTGATAAGTGGCATTTAACATAATAGTTATGAACAAAGTTCTTCATGCCCAGCCCAACATGGGGCTTTAACTCATAACCCTGAGATCAAAACCTGAGCAGAGATCAAGAGTCAGACATTTAATTGACTGAGCCACCCGGGTGCCCCTAGGAGCAAAGGTCTAAAGTCTGGAAGCCCGGACCACATGCCAGCACTAGTTGCATAATCCTGGGCAAACTTAACCCAGTGATTCCATTTAGAGAGTGGTTTAAGAATTAAATGAGTTCAGGGCACCCGGATGGCTTAGCCAGGTAAGCGTCTGACCAGCTCAGGTTCATGGGTTCGAGCCCCGAGTCAGGCTCTGTGCTGACACCTCAGAGCCTGGAGCCTGTTTCTGATTCTGTCTCCCTCTCTCTCTGCCCCTCCCCCGCTCACGCTCTATCTCTGTTTCTGTCTCTCTCTCTCTCTCTGTGTCTCTCTGTCTCTCAGAGCAGGCCTGCTCTGTGGGGCTTGCCCTTCCTCTCCCCCGCCGCGCAATCTCGGGCCATTCCCACCGCTTTTCTGTCAGATCATGGCAAGCCCTCTCATCGCTTTAAAATCACCCAAGAAAATTCTCATTTTCCTAACGAAAACATCTTGCCTCGTGGAATAGTCAAAACTTGCAACCACATGTAACGGTGGGGCTTCCCCTCCCCCGGCTGGAGCCTGCTTTGGGCTGGACGCTCAGTGGGAACAGGAGGCACCCATGGCTTTCCCCCTTCCTCTCCCAGTGCCCCCTCTTGCCAAACCCGTCACCCACCAGCTATAGTCTCTAACCCTAGACCCTTCCGGAATTAGAGTCACAGGGGGCAGGGAGGGTCTTTCTTGACTGGCACCAAGCAGGCGCTAGTTTTCTCTGGCCGCAGACATGCCTAAGACTGACACTTTGCTTTCTTGGTTCTGCTTCAGAGGGACATTCCATGAAGGGGGATCTCTCAGTGCAGCCCCTTAGCATGGGCCGCACCCTCTCGCTGACCACGCACAGCTCCTTGAACCCTAGCTCCTCCCCCAGTCATCTCCACACAGACTGTCTTTAGGGTCTCACTGCCTGGGCAGATAGATGCCTGTCTTATCCAAAGTTCCTTTCAGTTGGCATCAGGGGCACCTGGGTGGCTCAGTCGGTTAAGTGTCTATTGATCTCAGCTCAGGTCTTGATCTCAGGGTCATGAGTTCAAGCCCTGCGTTGGACTCCACCCTGGGCATGAAGCCTACTGAAACAAAAATTGGCATCATGGGGCTCCTGGGTGGCTCAGTCTGTTAATTCTTGATTTCAGCTCAGGTCACGATCTCACAGTGCGTGAGTTGGAGAGCCCTGCATCCGGCTCTGGACTGATGGCTTGGAATCTGGAGCCTGCTTTGGATTCTGTGTCTCCCGTCTCTCTGCTCCTCCCCCACTCACGCTCTGTCTCTGTCTCTCTCTCAAAAATAAACATTAAAAAAAAAGTTGTTTTTAATAAATAAATAAATGTTACTGAGCAAATGAATCAGTCAATCACTGTGATAGAAGATTGATATATTCTAGGAGACAGTTTCATTTTTTTATATTAAAATTTCAAATGTACTTGAAGTACTGGGGTGAGAAGCTTTTAAACTCTCTAAACTGCAGGGTTTCCTTCCAGATTCTTCATCAGTGTTTCATCTCACTGATGGTCACTGTCCCCATCACTCTTGTTTCCTCTGCCACCTCATAATGTCCATTTCTGCAGCCACCGCTGGAAATACCTCTACTTCCGCTGTTGCGACCAGTCTTCATTTTTATGAATCCATGGCTTATGTCTTTTATACGTGCCAAGGAGATAATTACCAAAAATAAATCAAGAGAAGAAATATTTGGATACATGAGTCCTTCTCATGTATACAAATACCATAAGAGTGATACTTGTATCAACAGTGTTCGGAACTTGAAAAACCAGTCAGTAACACAAATGTAAATAATGCAAGAATAGAGTATAAATAAGCATATGGTATAATAAAGCATTAAGCCTATAATAAAGAATAACGTAAAATAAGCATAGAGTATAAGTAGCAAGCCTAAGCCACAAAAATCATTATGTATAAGAGAACTTGCCACAAAATTTCTTTTGTGGAAAATTATAATTGAATTAAAATTCACTTGTAAATATGTTCTATACACAAACCATTTTCTTATAGAATATATCTGTTGGGTAAAATAACATGCATCAGCGATCTACTTCTTGCTTAGGATGTTCAGGGTCGTGCATGAGATGTTTCTTATGGTCTGCAGTGACCTTGATTTCCCCAAGTAATTGCTTTAAAAGGGAGCACTCATGTGGAATTTAAATTCTCCCGTATTTTTAAATCTCCTGCAGGTTGTACTAAAGCTATACCCAGGCTCAGAGAATCCAATGGGAGAAGAAAATGATACGTGGCTTCTATGTCCTGCAATTAGCAGCAGGAGCAAAGGGCTGACATATTTCTGGAACGTTCCTTTTCCTACAGACCCTATGCCTGCATACTAGGGAGTTATAAAACTTTAGACGCTTCTGATTTTCTGATCCCTCCCTCCCCTCAGGTATTCATAAATTTAAAGGCCAGATCCTGCACAGTCAGGAATATAAGAGCCCAGAAGGCTTTCAAGGCAAACGCGTGTTAGTGATCGGTCTTGGGAACACTGGAGGGGACGTGGCAGTGGAACTCAGTCGAACGGCAGCTCAGGTACACAAGGGTGAATCCACACCCCCACCCCATCATCATTGCTGGTGGCTGGAGAGAGGGGTACAAACTATAAAGCACATTGGCCGATTGCTAAATCATGTGGACCCAACGTGAGTGAAAAAAAAAAAATCCACACATAACAGAATTGAAACATCTCCAAGAGGGGTCAAGGACACTGTGTGGATGCCAGACCACGAGGCATTTTTTCAGAGGCACTGTTTCAGGAACAAGACCAAATGAATAAATTACTCCACCCAGACCACTGATCTGTTTTTACACTCTCTCTTCATAATTCTGGCGAAACCCCCATATAAAAATAGAAAATGGAAGTTATTTTCTGAACATGTCCAAATTTTCTATTAGAAGTCACATTTAGAACTTGTTTTCAGATAAAAACAGCCTTCACTTTGCCCATGAAGTGTGCAGAATGACTTTAGAAAGTCCAAGCATAGATTCGCAAATTAGAAATCTGTTCCACTTTAACATATATTATAGGACATTATTAGATTTGGGAAAGAGATGTTGAAGATTTTTATTGAACTCAGTTAAAATTGCTTTCCCAAAACTCCACTTTACATTCTGTATTATTTATATGTAAAAGATTGCCAGGTCAACAGTGCACATATCTACTAGCACTGTAATTTTTATAGTGAACATGATAAAAATACTTAACAGATATATAGATCAGGTAAAAGTGACATAAAAACGAAAACAACAGAAATAGTCATTTGTAGTTCTATGTACAAACTCACCAGTTAAAAACAGAAGCTATGAAGGAAATCTTGCCATTTGCAACATGGATGGAGCCAGAGAGTATAACGCTAAGTGAAATAAGTCAGTCAGAGAAAGACAAATACCCTATGATTTCACTCACGTGTGGACTTTAAGAAACAAATGAGCAAAGGGAAAAAGAGGCAAACCAAGAAACACACTCTTACCCACAAAGAACAAAGCTGAGAGCACCAGAAGGGAGGGAGGTGGGGGGATGGGTGAAATAGGTGATGGGGACTAAAAGTGCACTTGTCGCGATGAGCACCGGGTGATGTGTGCAAGGGTTGAATTACTATATTGTACACCTGAAACTAATATAACACTGGATGTTAATTAACTGGAATTAAGATTAAAAACTTCTTTAAAAAGGACAGTTGTTATAAGAACATTTGAAGCACATCAAACAAACATACTACAAAATGATGTACATATATTTATCCTTCCTTACTTTTTAGGTACTTCTCAGTACTAGAACTGGTGCCTGGGTTATCCACCGCTGTTCAAATGGGGGTTACCCCTATAATATGGTGATTACAAGAAGATACCTTAATTTTATGGCGCAAGTTCTGCCCTCGTGTGTACTAAACTGGATTCAAGAGAGGCAAATGAATAAAAGATTTAACCATGAGAATTATGGACTAAGTATAACAAAGGGGTACTTAAATTTTTTATTTAATGGGAAAATTATTGAACCAATAATTTTAGGGCACCTGGGTGGCTCAGTCAGTTAAGTGTCCAACTCTTGATTTCGGCTTAGGTCATGATCCCAAGGTCATGAGATCAAGCCCCCAGTCAGGCTCTCCACTGACAGCATGGAGCCTGCTTGGGATTCTGTCTCTCCCTCTCTCTGTATGCCCCTCCCCCACTCACTCAGGTGCATGCACGTGCTCGCTCTCTCTCTAAATAAATATATTTTTAAAAAACAATCAATAATTTTTAATTCTACTTTATTCAGAACTCAAATCTTCAGTAATTATTATGCTGCCTTTATTTATTCTGCTCTGGGCTTAGTTCCTTAAGACAATGTCCATCAAGTACCACAAATAGGAATATTCTCTGTCTGGTAACAAAATTAGTAATTCATGAGACTAGAATATAATGAAAGATAAAAACTTTTCATTTCTTGAAAAGTCAGGATGTTAGCTTGAAAGTCAGGACGTTAAAATTGGCTTTGAGGAGTCTTGAAATGGGCACCATCTACAAATGGAATATTTGCAGCATCTTGAGTACAGATGGCCAGCTCTTGCCAATGATTCTCTGGCTGAATGATTAGAGGATGAATTTCCAATAGGAGTTCCTAAAATTAAACATTTTAATATAACATGCATCTGTATGAAGCTGCACATGGCAAGGAAAAGAAAACTTTTGAAATGAATGTAAGGTCATTAAATGTGACTTCTATTTTATGCTTGACCCAAATATTTTTTTTTTCATAAGACAGCTCTCAACTTACAAAGAAAATTAACAGCAGTGGATGATTTGATATGTCAATTTTATAAAGACATTATATCTGCCATGATTAGATGGAATGATGTTCGTAATAAAAAATATTTTTCAGCATAACTTGGTTCAGATTTTTTTATTTTTATCCAAAAATTTTCTTGCTAATTTCCTCTTTGTCTAACATCAACCCTTTGAGGCCTGGGTGATGTGAGACCTGATTCTTAAACGGATTGCTGTATACTCGGTCCCAATTCTTCGAGAAAAGCATTGCTCCAGAAATGAATTTCAAGAGACAGAGAATTTTAAACCCCAGGCAGGAAAGAATAGGTTTAGCCATTTTCCACATGCCTTCTACTGGAAGCAGAAAAACAAAAGATGCTATTGAAACAGTAAGTTGGGTAGACAACTTTGAACTAGACATTGGTCAATTCACTCCCTTGGCTTGGCAGATAATTCCCCTGAGCTGACCAAATAAATAATTTGCTCAACCGTCTCACAGATACAACTACAATGAATAATTTTCTCTTCTGTGTCAAAGGAGAAAACCAAAATTCATTGTGAATGATGAGCTGCCAATCTGTATCCTCTGTGGGACGGTCACTATGAAAACCAGCGTGAAGGAGTTCACGGAAACCTCTGCTGTCTTTGAGGACGGAACAGTGGAGGAAAACCTCGACGTTGTGATCTTTACGACAGGATACACATTTTCTTTTCCCTTCCTTGAAGAGCCTTTCAAAAGCCTTTGTACAAAGAAGATATTCCTGTATAAGCAGGTCTTTCCTTCAAACCTGGAGAGGGCAACGTTAGCTATCATTGGCCTCATCAGCCTTAAAGGATCCATCTTATCAGGCACAGAGCTCCAGGCACGTTGGGCCACAAGAGTATTCAAAGGTACCTTGACTCTATTTAAAGCCCTACGTGATCAACTGAGTTTCCAATTAGTGTCTTGTGATTCAGCCAAAATGGAACAGATGTGAGCTAAAGTACCATAAGATATTTCAAGTTTAGGAAATATTTAATTTCATATATGAGTAATATTGTCATGGGTGTGCTTATGTCACTAACGTGACGGTGGAAAAAAGGTTTTGGTTGTGTGGATGGGATTAATTTGCACAGCAAGATATAATCATGTTTCTCAGATTAACTGAAATTGTTGGAAGCTTTGGGATCCTATATTCTGTTCTACTCTAGCTTATTTACTTCTAAATCTTTCTATTTATTTCTAGAAGTAGAACTCTATATCCCTTCCAAAGGAAGTTGCTGGAATAATGCAGACTGTGAATAAAGTTGAGTTCTGAGGAGATGGTAACCTTTGAGTAATGCCTATAAAAAAATATTTTAGACACTAGACACGAACTGCTGTCAGTTTTCACAGTAAGAGCACAGATGATGGAGTCGGGGTTACCAGGGTCTGATCCCAACTCTAAAACTCATTATCTTTGTGAGGACCTCTCTGAATCTCAGCCCCTTCATCTGTAAAATGGGGATAATAAAACCTCTTTCACAACAGTTTTGTGAGATGGATAATGTCTGCCGACCACTTATCGTGGTACCTGGCACACAGTGAACTCTACTAATTGGTAACTGGCATTCTTACTCTTGCTGTTACTATCATACCTCTCCAAAGTAGGGCAGGTTTTAGATTAGTAAGCATTTTAAAGAATTGCATTTGCATGATTTTTTTTATATTTTTAATGTTTATTTTATTTTATTTTGAGAGGGGGAGAGACAGAGCGTGAGCAGGGGAGGGGCAGAGAGAGAAGGAGACACAGAATCCGAAGCAGGCTCCAGGCTCTGAGCTGTCAGCACAGAGCCCGACGCGGGGCTCAAACTCACAAAGTGCGAGATCATGACCTGAGCCAAAGTCGGATGCTTAACTGACTGAGCCACCCAGGCGCCCCTGATTTTTTAACCATAAACAGCAATCACAATTGAGCCAACCAGGTGTTCTTTCGCAGAATTGTGTCATTAATGAATAAAAACAATCACCAGTAATTTATCAACAGTATACAAGACAGTACTAAGTTGTGTCGACTTCGTTCACCCTCTACAAATGTAATAGACCTCAGATTCCGCACATTTTCATTAAATGATCACAAATATTTCTTTCTTTAAGGCCAATTAAAGTGCTTTCACAACATTATCTGGTTATATTAAAATCTCAGAAGACTCTTAAGTACGTGGTGTTTTGGGTTTTTTTTTTAATGTTTTGTAATGAGCTCAAAAATGCTCACCAGGATGATAGAGCTGACAAAACAAAACTCAATTAGATGACGCCACAGGAGGAATTACATGCTTCTCCAGAGAGCCTCCAGACGCAATCTGAGAACCACTACGTAAAGTCTTGCCCGCTTTTTACAGGGTAAAGTGACTCTAGTGGCAAGCACACGACGGGGCTAAGTCAGACCTATCTCAAGCGGATACTAACCCCCCACCCTGGGGCCAGCACTTGGCTCCAGTCGGAAGAGCAGAGTCCAAGAGCTGAGACCGTCTAGGAGAGAGACCGAGAAGGAACACATGCCCACAACCACTCAAGAGGTCAGAGCCTAGTCTCTCTGTGAGGCTGAGGGACCACCAGGCGCTTCTACACACGAGGCTTCCGGTGCAACAGGAGTGAAGACATGTCAAAGCAGGGCTATAAAAACAAGGTCGTCTTAAGTAGTTACATTTAACCCACAAATAGCTTTAACACACACATACAAATACAAACAGGGGTATACAAACAATACAATACAAACAGTATATATGAATATATGTAATGTGCAAGCGGGTAAATGAGCTGGAGCAGGTACCGATGACCGATGGGTCAGCGCAGGCTGAGGTCTGGATGACAGGGGCGTCCGTCCTCATAATTCTGGCAGTAGAATGCCACAAACCCTGGTTAAGTGGGTTTGGAGGGGCATTATGCTTCCAGAAATTACCTCTAGTTCCAGTCTAAGCTTTGACTATTACACGTCCTAAGGATAGAGCAGTGGGGGGCCAGAAATGAGGGAGAAGAGAACGCAAAGGAAAAGGCACATGTGACGTTAATGTTCTTTCCAATGTTTCTCACAGGACTCTGTAAGATACCTCCGTCTCCAAAATTGATGGCTGAGGCTACGAAAAAGGAGCAGCTCATAGAAAGGTATGACACGACATGTAGCTTCTTCGGGAAAACCTACCAATGTATTTCCGTACCCACAAACCTGCATCGGAGCCAGAAGAATATGCTTTTAATCCCAACTGTTCCACCAACTAGATGTGTGGTCTCGGATGTGTTAGGTAGGGGTACCAGCTCCTCTCAGCAGAATACAGAGCCAGGGCCCCAACAGGTGGCAACCTTGAGCTCACTTGGCCGCCAGAACCCCCTTGTGTCTTTGTTCTTGGGTCTCTTAGGCTGCTCTTTCTCTGCAATTCCTGGTGTCACCTCTTCCTCGCTCCTAAAAATTGGTGAACCCCAACCTTAATCCTCAGATCCTTTCTCACTTCTACGAACACCCACTCCTAGGCGGCCTCACCCAGGCCTGTGGCTCTCAATTCCATCACACAGTCATGACTCCCAAGTCTCTCCCTCGAATTCCAACTCCTAATCCAGTCCCTCCAGATATCTCCACTTGGATACCACTTAGATATCTCAAATTTAATACAGCTAAGAATGAACTCTAGCCCTCTAACGCCTGCCCACTCATCCTGCACCCGGGCTGCTCTGAGACTTTTCTTCCCCTTCTCAGTCACTGGCTACTCACTCTGGGTGATCCGCCAGAACCCCTGAGCGATCCTTTTCTCCTCTTTCTCTCTCCATACCGCACATCAGCAAATACTGTCAGCTCCTACCTTCGAACAGAAGGTAGAAATCCAGACCCTTCTAGCTACCCCCACAGCCACCCCAGACCAGGCCACTGTCACCTCTCACTAGGACACTGGCTGTCACCACTTATCTGGTCTCCCGGCCTCCTCTCTGCTCTTCTACAGCGAGTGTCAAGTCTTGACACTGCGGCAGAAGTGAGGAGCACCACATTGTCCTTCTGGTCAAAACCCTCTGATTGCTTCCCATGTCACTCCCAGAAACTTCCCTGGGGCTCCCCAGTGCTCCAGAGCAACCAGCTGTCTCTGTGCCCTCGTGGCCTAGGTCCTCCCACCTCACCCATACTGCTCCAGTCCGAGGCAGCCTCCTCCCTGGTCCTCAAACACCCCAAACCTAGCCCCCTCAGAACCTTTGCACTTACTCTAACCTCTGCCTGGAATGTTCTCCCCTCGCCTCCCCCCCATACCTACAGGCTCACTCTGTCAAATATCGCCTCCTAAGAGAAGCCTTCTCTGACAACACTGTATAAATATGGCGGCCTACTCAATCCCTTCATTGCATTCCCCCCCCTCCTTTATATCTCTTCATAATACCTATTACCACCTGATTTATTATCTATCTGCTTGGCTGAGGGTTTCTATAGCCTGTTAATTTCCTCACTAGAAGGTAAGCTTCTTGACAACACAGACTTTGTTTTATTCATTGTTAGACTCCTGGCAGCTAGCATGATGCCTCATGTGATATTTATTGAAGGAATGAATGAATGAATGTCATTAGGACATCATGAAAGTTTACTAACCACAGAAATAGATAGGAATAACGCTTTCATATACATGATACCCACATCTGTGTCATGTTCAGGGCCCCATGTATGGCTCTCTCAACTCACAATTAATGTCAATAACAATAATTTAGGTGGCCATATATGTGATGCTTTCTGATCATGTTCATTCGTTCAATAAGTGCTGTATTGACACTGGATGAGATTTCACCCTTATATCAAATTCAAGAACCTAAAACATTATCTAGAACTGCTCTTCCGATTGCCTCCTTTTACCATCTCCTTTAACAAAATTACCTTCCCAAATACCTTCTGTAGATAAACTCTTATTTTTTTTGCTTTGCAACATAGAAAAACATTCCCAAACATGGCTTGACTGTGATAAAAAGAAACAAAATGGTGGGAGGAAGGGTGACTTATAACTTGAAACTGAAAAATGATCCATCTTTTTCCCCTGCAGGGGTGTGATGAAAGACATCAGTAAAGATAAACTTGAGTACATCACCTACATGGATGACATTGCCGCATGCATAGGGACAAAGCCCAGTGTCCCATTTCTGTTCCTCAAGGATCCCAGACTCGCTTGGGAAGTTTTCTTTGGACCGTGTACTCCTTACCAGTACCGCCTAAAGGGACCTGGGAAATGGGATGGAGCCAGAAATGCCATCCTGACCCAATGGGACAGGACACTGAAACCCTTAAAAACTCGAATCGTCCCTGATTCCACAAAGCCTGCCTCCATGTCACATTATTTAAAAGTTTGGGGGGTACCTATCCTACTTGCCTCTCTTCTGCTGATCTGTAAATCTTCACTTTTTCTGAAGTTGGTGCAAGAATTTCCTCTTACCAGTAAGTATTTGGTGAGGATGAATATGATTGGTTACAAGGGTTGTCCCGAGCCATATTAATTCTATCTCCAAATATTTGTGCATCCCTTCTCTCCTCTCCATCATAACCGCTATCTTTCAAGTTCAAGTCATCTCTTACCTGAATTATTATACTTACTGCCTTCCTCTCTAGTCTCAGTGGCTCCTTTCTTGCCTCCGTTTCCAATCCATACTCTACTCTGCTACCTAAGCAATTATGTAAAATAAAAATATTGCCATTGTTTCCATAAAAATGCTGATTGGAATAAGATGACACTCAAATTAGTTAATTTGGTGGAAATTTTAATATAGAGATTACTACAAAAGGTTTGGGCAGACTGTAAGGAAATCATAGGGATAAATGAAATACTCCCAGACTAGTAACAATGAGATATTTTTACCATTCTGAGGCCTAATGAGGCAAGAGGAGAAAACAATTATAAATGAGACAGAGAGACTTCTTTGTGGAGAGGGCTACACCTCAAGAGTTACGGCCTTCAGCTGACAGATGAAGGCAGTCCATGGTGACCCCAAAAGTGCAAAGCTTGGGAATAAGTTCCCTAAGTTTATTTTCTTCCCTCCCTCTGATCCCCTGCCCATGCTCCCCCATGGCCTAACCCAGCCAAAACTCAAAGGACAAGGTTACCAACTATTGTGGATTGAATTGTGCCCCTCAAAAAGTTATATGCAAGTCCTAACCCCTGGTACCTATACCTTGTTTGAAAATAGGATCTTTGTGAATGTAATCAATTTAAGATGAGATCATACTGAAGTAGGGTGAGCTAAATGCAATATGATTGGTGTCCTTATCAATGAGGATAAGACACACCAACAGAGACACGGGGGGAAATGTTGTGTGAAGACGAGCAGAGGTCGGAGTGATGCATCCACAAGCTAAGGATGGCCCAAACACTGGAAGCTAGGAGAGAAGCATGAACAGACTCTCCCCCAGAACCTCCCGAGGAAATCAATCCTGCTAACACCTGGGTTCCAGACTTCCAGCCTCCAGAACGGTGAATGAACAAGCCACCTGGTTTGTGGTATTTTGTGGTGGCAATCCTAGGACACTAACATACCGACTGATGCCATCCACAGAAGTCGGCCTCCTAACGTACAGACGGAGCAAAGACAATGGAGAGCACATATGGAAGGGCAGACAGAAAGGACCCAGTGCAGACTGTTTACTATCCTTCAAAATTTCTCCTTTGATTAGAGATAATCGTCCAAATTACTGAACCTGGAAGAGGAGACCCTTCGTGATCTGACCGCATTTGCCCAGGTCGCCAGAGTCCTGTCCTACAGCTTCCCCCACTCCACTCTGGACCTACCATCCAACACTACCAAACTGTCAGCTGCGCCATACCTCCTCTCTTTGGCACAAGGCATTGCCTCCACTGGGAACTCGAATCCACCCCAACTCTCTTTCGAGAGAGAGGTCGATTATCTCCCTCTGTGAAGCCTTTCCTGGATCCTTAAAGCAGAGTCGACCTCCCATTCGTAACGACTGCCCTTCATGTACTGCTTTGTCATTGCCCTTTTCTTACTGTCATGTACAGTTGACCCTTGAACAATGCAGGTTTGAACTGCATGGGTCTACTTATATGCAAATTGTTTTCAATAAATACAGTACAGTCCTATAAGTATGTTTTCTCTTCCTTACGATTTTCTTCATAACATTTTCTTTTCTCTATTACTTTATAGGAATACAGTCTATCATACAAATAACACACAAAATACATGTTGATTGACTTTATGTTATCAGGATGGCTTCCGGTCAACAGTAGGTGATTAGTATACTAGTAGAGTTAGATTTTGGGGGGAATGAGAAGTTATACAGATGTTTTACTGGGCAGTGCTGCGTGGTTTAAGGATCAACTGTAACATTCTTTTTGTGTCTGTCTCCCAGCAAATGAGAAATTACTGAGGGGAGTTGTGTCTTGTTCAGCTAAAACACTGCCTGATCCAAAATATTGCGAAATAAATATTTGGTGGCTTACCAGTTGCCTCACCAGCTGACTTTCTTGTCTGTGTTCTCCTACCCAGATTCTTTCTCCTGCCAACATGATAAACATCCTCAGGTTCCCTCAGCCACGCAAACGAACGAGAACAGTTCCCCAACAGCAAGAAATCCATATGGCAAATACAGTCAATATGGCTATACAATAACTAGCAACCATGTGTCCTGGTTGAAAGCACTCTCTCTGACTTGGATTATAATCCCAGTTCTGCCATGAGCTGTGAGGGCTTGGCCAAGTGACTTAGCCTGGCTAAGCCTCAGTATCCTCATCTGGAAAATGAGGAGAAAGGTAATAATGGCATCTACCTTAAAAGCAAACAATGAGACAATACAGGATGTTAGCTACCCAGTAAATTAACTATCAATAGCTGATGAGCCCGAGGACATTTTCAATTCTCTGACTTAAAGGATTTGAAACCTGTTGCCCGGCTCCTTTCCCTCTTGCCTAATCAGAAAGCATGGCCTTTGCTCTCCATGAATCCCCTGGTAGCACTTTCCAGCTAAGATCACTCTTTTGTCTTCGTGACCCCCACCAAATCACTGAGGCCCCTTGCCACCATCATGGCTGCCGTCATCACCACACACACCCCACTCCGGTGGCCCCCCCCAGAATGCAGAGGGAAACGTCAGCAAAGGAGGAATCATTATGTCAGGGCATAACTTGACATAACTTGTTGATATGTCTGACATAACTTGTTGATATGTCAGGATTTTTACTAACAACATCACCTAGTAGAAGGGACACCTAATTCCAAATCTTCAAAGCTGACCAACAAGAGCAATGTCATATTTATCTATGCCCAAGTTCTTGAAGGAGAAAGCAGAACTGAGATGTCTTTATTATCTCATTACATGTAATGTTGCGATTTATTTTTCCATGTATTAATTTTTAGATGAGAAAGCAAACTCCGAGAAGTAATTTGCCCCAATTCACAGAGCAAGGGAGAGACAGAACAGAGATTTGAATCCAAACATATGCAACCCTAAGGCCTTGAGATTGAGTTGCCTTGAGAGAGAACTCCTCCAATTCACTCCTTACCACCTCGACTTGTTTATGGATGACGTTCCAAGCTGGACATTTCCTCCCTGAACCTTGAATAGACTTCTGAATATTCTACTTATCACATGCCATGACCCTAGTTCCCGAAAAAAAAAAAAAAATGTATCATGAAAAGGCCACTGCAGGGGCAGTTGGTTATGCATCCTACTTCGGCTCAGGTCATGATCTCATGGTTCATGACTTCATGCTCCACATCGGACCATCCAGGCACGGAGCCTGGAGCCTGCTTCAGATTTGGGGTTTCTCTCTCTCTCTGCCCCTCCTCCATTTGTGCTCTGTCTCTCTCTCAAAAATAAACAAACATTTAAATGAAAATGTTTTGATGAAATACAGCCAGATCAACACTAAACCATCCTGCACACCTAGAAAACTGATCTGAGGTTTAACACAACAATCTGCACCACCTGAACCACAGAACTCAGCAGGTACACGGCGCGGAGAGGTGAACTGGGGGAGAGAGAAGCCGGGAGGGCAGGATGCTGTTTTTTCCGTGTGGAGAGGACAGAGACGGGGGGAGGGGGAAATACGGGAAAAGCACCCCTCCCAAAGCAGCTGGAGAGAAGGTGGAAAAGTGGAAACAGCCGCAGGGACTTAACTAAAAAGGGAGCTAGGAGAGGGCTTAAATTCCATTAAGACTATAAACAGGGGGAGCTCAGAGGCTGAAACTCTGCAGCACCATACCTGGCGGAGCTCGGGTGGGAAGGGCGAATCTCCAGGAGCAGAGAGGAGTCCGGGGGGCTTCAGACTGAACGGGAGAGGTGGTTCCCGGGACAGCTGGTAGAGGCTGTGTGGATCCCCCAAAGGCAAGGCCCCAGTGGACCTGGGAGAACAACCTGGTGCTGGAACAAGGTCGCTGGGGGCGGAGCCCAGTGCCAGATGCGTGTTTTTCCATAATCCCTGAAACGCCGCTGCTACACGATCGCGCGAACTTTCTCTGGGGCAGGCTGGCACCCGGCTGCAGTATCTGGGCATCGGCAGCAGCAACCAGCAAACGTTCCTGGGTGCAGCCGGCACCCGGCCACCGCTCAGTGAGACCCTCCCTCAGAGGAGCAGAACGGGTCAAAGCCGCAGTCCCTCAGAAGTAAGGGGTCGGGAAAAACAGCCGTATCTGAGATAAAACTCAGGAGGGAGGTGCTGCCTGGAGTTCGGTTGCAGATGGTGTAAAAGCGGGGAGCGGAGGGAAGCTGAAGACAAAGGACAGGTGCACAATTGCTAAGCTAATCCCAGAGAAGGGAGTTCCATACTGGAGACCAGGTATCTGGGCGACACCATTTTCACCACTCCCGCGCATGCGCATACGTACCTATAAGCGGCACGACAACCCACCCCAGTAAGCTAAGCAGCGCCATCTAGTGGAGAACGGAGCCATTACACTAAGCCCCGCCAACTGGGCCAACCTCGCTCTTCAGGAACACAAGTTTCTCCGCCTGCTTACTTTATGGACTATAAAGTGCTTCATAGTTTGACTTCTGGGGGAAATTGAAGTAATTTCAGTTGTATTTCGGTATGTTCGCCGGTCTATCTATTCAATTTTCTTTGTTTTTCTTCTTTTCTCTTTTTCGTTTCTTTTCTTTTTCTTGAATACAGAAAGAGAAAAATTTTTATTTTTATTTTCATTTTTATTAAAAATATTTTTCTTGAATTTTTTTCTACCATATTTTTTACTTTTGTGTAAATTTTTTCAAATTCTATTTTACTTCCATCATTTCATTTTATTCTACTTCACTGCATTCATTTTTTCAAATTTTCAGAAGATTTCCTTTTTTTTTCTTTTTGTTTTTTTATTCCCCTTTTTTCTCTAATCTATCAAATCTCTTTCAACACCCAGACCAAAACACACCTAAGATCTAGCATCATTTACTCTATTTTGTGTGTGTGTGTCTGTGTGTGTGTTGTTTAATTTTTTAAATTTTAATATTTTTTAATTTAATTTTTTAATTTTAATTTTTTTACCTCATTAATTTCTTTCCTCCCTTCAAAATGACAAAGTGAAGGAATTCACCCCCCAAAAAAGAGCAGAAAGAAACGACAGCCAGGGACTTAACCAATAGATACAAGCAAGATGTCTGACCAGAATTTAGAATCATGATAATAAGAATACTAACTGGAGTTGGAAATAGATTTGAATCCCTTTCTGTGGAGATAAAAAAGTAAAAACTAGTCCAGATGAAATAAAAAATGCTGTAACTGAGCTGCAATATTGAATGGATGCCATGGCAGCAAGGATGAATGAGACAGAGCAGAGAATCAATGTTATAAAGGACAAACTTATGGAGAATAATTAAGCAGAAAAAAAAAGAGGGAGACTAAGGCGTAAAAGCACAATTTAAGAATTAGAGAAATCAGTGACTCATTAAAAAGGAACATCAGAATCATAGGGGTCCCAGAAGAGGAAGAGAGAGAAATAGGGGTAGAAGAGTTATGTGAGCAAATCATAGCAGAAAACTTTCCTAACCTGGGGAAAGACACAGACATCAAAATCCAGGAAGCACAGAGAACTCCCATTAGATTCAACAAAAACCGACCATCAACAAGGCATCTCATAGTCAAATTCACAAAATACTCAGGCAAGGAGAGAATCATGAAAGCAGAAAGGGGAAAAAAAGTCCTTAACCTACCAGGGAAGACAGATCAGGTTTGCAGCAGACTTATCCACAGAAACTTGGCAGGCCAGAAAGGAGTGGCAGGATATATTCAATGTGCTGAATCAGAAAAATATGCAGCCAAGAATTCTTTACCCAGAAAGGCTGTCATTCAAAATAGAAGGAGAGATGAAAAGTTTCCCAGACAAACAAAAATTAAATGAGTTTGTAACCACTAAACCAACCCTGCAAGAGATTTTAAGGGGGACTCTCTGAGGGGAGAAAAGACAAAAAATAAATAAATAAATAAATAAATAAATAAATAAATAAATAAATACAAACCAAAAGCAACAAAGACTAGAAAGGACCATAGAACACTACCAGAATCTCCAACTCTACAAGCAACATAATGGCAATAAATTCATACCTTTCTGTACTCACTCTAAATGTC